CAGGAAGGGAAACAAAAGGAGCAAAAACGAATCCCATATTACTTCTGCTGACCCCCAAAACAGAAATATATGGGAACCGCATCATAAACCACACTGTGAAAGCGATACGGCTGTGAGCCTGGAGAGAAATGTCGGTCTGTGGCCTGTCCGCTCTGCCTGATTTGTGACCATTTGAGGAAGCCAAATAGAAACCGTTTCCAGCAGCGTGGGAAGCGCAGGAAGTTCACCTGCTTATCCCGTCTTTTTTGCTTCATGTTTACATCTCACGAGGTTCTGAAAAAAAGCTCAGGGATGATGTTTGGTGATGCTGGAGGCAGTTCGGATGTCGGGATCTGTTTGGATCCCTTCCCATCTCAGGGTTTGTATCGTTGCAAGTTTTACAAGTTTACATTTCGGATAAAGTTGCTAAAGCAGGCGCATGTGGGCAACAGATAACTGGCAAGTGTTTGTACTGGACCTCTACTGGGAATGGTCCGAAGTGTCACCTGCAGACAAGAAGCAGAAAATGGTGTAGAAAAAACTAAACAAGCCATTTATAAACCACATTGCCATGATGATGTTACGACATGACTGAGGTATTTCCGCATTTACAGATGTCTGCCCTCTTTGTTTTGGATGTTTTTGTTTGTTTGGTTTTCGTTCCCCTCAAATGTTTCAGACATTTAAACACATCTTACTGCCAGACAGAGGAAACCTGAAGAAATACAAGAGGCAGTTTATCAAATTATGATTTTATTCATTGAAATGAAAACGTTTAAACTCACCATTCGTCATGTGTCATGGCGGCAGACGCGCAGCCTGGTTGTGACCCGATGCAGCGGTGGAGATAACGAGGACGGTCAGGGTTGCGCTCTCTTCTTCTTTTCTCCGTCAGTGCAGTCTCTTAATTGTTATATTTAATGCTGCAGACGATTTCCTTTGCATTCTGTTTCCGTAAAAGCGACTCAGGCTTTCTTTTCTCCTCCACCATTAGTTGCTCTTGACAAAACAAAGGCTACATTTTCATATCTCATCATCTGATTTTTGTGACTTTCACAACATGACACACACCAATTGTCAACCATTAGAGCTGCAATAGGTTCTATTTAGCTGGGTCTCTCAAAATAAGCAGAAGAAATCGAAATCCCTCATCAAACCCAAGGAAAGCAATTTTAGGATTAAGGTGCTATAAACACCCTGCAGACACCTGTTGTGTGAATGCACACTGCTTAAAGTGTCAATTTACAAAAGCTCTGGTATTTAACTAAACCCTGGTCGAATGTGACGTTTTTTTTGCGGAGGTATTTTGGATCTAAATCATCTGAAAGGCTGAAATGGTTACAGGTAAATAGGAACATTAAAATAAAAAAAAAATGCAGGAAGACCAAGAATAAGAAAGTTTGACTTGATGCGAAATTGTTTCGTCGTTTCACACGGAGAAACTGGGGACAGTTCCTCTATACGAAAGTTTCGACTCTCGAACTGATTTCATTTTGGTGAGCTGAGGCATAAACGATGTCATTTAATTGCTGACACTCTTCTGTGGTACCAGTGTCATCCACGTAATCACATAATGATTGGGGTTTTTTTTATTTCTTTTGGGTTCATCCCAAATATATTCATATGCCTTCAGGTCTAGTCCAAGCAACGTTGTGACACAGACAAAAATACAATTCTGAATTTTTCATTTTCCCTCATTTCACCATTGAAATGGATGATAATTCCAGATGTAATGCCATCATTTTCATAGCAGTAGCAGGAAGTTACAAGTAGGAGGCAGTGCAAGGCTGTGCAATCGCCCCAGACCCTGTTAGCTTAACGCAGTGGTTCTCAATTATTTTCTGTCATGCCCGCCGGTAAAGATCCTCATTTCCCTCCCCAGTATTTAAAAACTATTGCAAATCTGTTCGTATTTAATTCATATTTTATCGTACAGACCATTTGGCTCCAGCATTGCATGGTCATTTTATCGAAGCTGCTCTTTTACTGTTGTGAGCCTCAAAATAATTTCCAAGATGAGTTTATTGGGTGAATTGTGAGCATTTACTCTATTTGACAAAGAAAAAGTGCAAATGATTCACTGGGATTTGTATTTTTAGCCTCAATACAATAAAACTTTTCACAACCATAAGCACTGGTCACTATCAGCTTCTTCCCTTTAGTTTTTCACACGTTTTTAACATTTATTGAGGAAAAATTTGCAGCAATATTGCTTATATTTCAGCTTGTCAGATGAGAGGAGATTAAAAGTGCTTAACATTCTGCATCAACAATAAAAAGATAGATTATTATGTCTATTTTCTGGCCTTTTTCCTGCGAGCTAGTTACTTGTACATGGTGGAGAATCAGGGCCAGGCTCCGAGTTTTTGATTTGGGTTTTAAATACGAGTAAAGTTGGACGAGAATAAAGACCTCATGTCATGAAACTGATCATAATGACAAGGGATTCCTCGTATTTCACAGAAACACAGACTGTGAGGAAGTCGCGTTCACCTCTGGCGCCCGTGTGGGTTTTCTTCACGTGTTCTGGCTTCCGTCCACAAAACAAGAACACAGTTCAAAGGTCAATACGTGAGCGTAAGCCGAGAGGGGAGACGGCTGCTTCTCTTGCAGCTCTCATGAGGAGCGTAAAGCGGCTGATGGGATGGGAAGATAACTCGCCGTTAAAAAACTGGAACTAGACTGGCTGTAAAACTGGAGAAAGACGAGGCGACGGAAAAATCTCATGTTTGTCTTTCAGCAGTAGGTTTACACCTGAGCATCATGAGCCATTGTTTTATTGCAAATGTACACAAATATGGGTCGAGGGTGCAGCGCATCCAGTCAGTCTCTAACACACATTCAGTCGAGAGCTTCATCTGTTTCATAAATTATTGTGAGCTTTAGAAATGTTTCGTTTTTTGTCTGTGCCTACTTCTACTTTCTAGTGTCTGATTTAAACAAAAACTGTTTGAAAGCAGTTTTTGTGTTCAACCGAAGCAGGGAAGTTTCCAATCGGTTACTTGATGAAACAGCGCCATCTTGTGTTAACCCTCCTGTGATGTTTCTACTTTCTTCACAGCTCATGAATGAGTCGGTGCTTGGCTACTCGTTTCCATCAAATCAGTCATTTCTTGAAATTTTATCTGTCAGAAATAAACTTCTTTACAGGTGAAAGTATAAATATAATTGCAAAAAATAAAGGACTGGAAAAAAAGGTTCATTTTGTGCAATTTAATCCCTTCCTTCTGGAAAAAGCAGTTTTAAGAAGGGCAGAGGTATAATCACCGAATTAAAGCGATATTACTTGTGATATCCGAATGTATATAGCTGTTTTCATACCTTAATGTTCCCAAACTTTTGTTTTCAAAATGCAAATGGTGTTCAAGTAGAATTTAAAAACTAAAATATGTAATTAGACAATTAGTGCCTGTAGTTTTACTTTTAAAACCAAAAAAATCAGTTCATCGCCAGAATTAGGTCGGTACCCAACTGCAGCTGGTTTCCTGAGGTTGATTTAGAGAAGTTCTTGTTCTCATGAAGCCATAAAGTATTTTCTCTGAGAGGGGAAAACCCAAAGGGCTCAAACAATGGAAAACCATTAAAAATATCAGCGGTGAACCACAGACGTAAGGCTTGTTCGGGAACGTCTCATAAAACCCAAATGTTTTGTGGTGAAAACTTTAATGTGTCCACTTTGACGTCCGCCGGCCTCTGGAGAAAACGGAAAGCAACAAATCCAACCAGCATGTGAGTTTATACTTTGTTTTGTGCTGTCGAAAGAGCAAATGGTTAAAATTACCATTATGTTGAATTTAATCTGAAAGGATTAAACATGAAGTGGGATCCAAGAGGAGGATGTTCAAATCTTTGAAACTATTTCTTTCCTAAAGCAGCAGTTTTTATAAATCAAGTGAACATTTCTCCTCTTGTCGCAGTCAGAGATTTAAAGCCTTGCTTTTATCTCCACTGCTCAAGTCGTTTGTGTTGGCGCCGTTCCTCGCTGCAGGCTGCCATTACACAACCAGAGCCGGATGATCACACCTGCCGGTAATTCTGTTGTCTCGTAAGGCTGGATCCAATTTAATAAATCATTTGACTTATCGGATTAAGCACCTAATTAGCATGCGGGCTCCCATCCAATCAAAAGCGGCTGCTCCAGATAAACCCACCGCCCATTGGCTCACCAACACAGCGGTCTTAGGACTGTGTGAGAGGTCGTGACCCCTGCTGACCTGGATTACTACGCGCTCCTGTAGCAATCTCTTGAGCCACTAAAAATAGCCTGAGCCCGAGTTTCTCTCGTGAAGCGCTGCAGTGACCGGGCCTGCCCTGACCCAGTCTGAGGCTGTCTGGATTAGAGCTCTGCTACAGAACAGCCAGAGACGCATTTCAGAGCAGCAAACAGTTCAACTTCATACACGGTGAAGGTTCAAGTTTGGTTTACATTTGAACTTTGGAGATTTTTCATTCTTACTTTCTACATCATCCTGCTTTCTGTGCACAGTAGCAGAGCAGACTTTGATCCTCGTCCAGCTCTATTAAGAGCTGAAATTATGTCAAGTTTTTGAATTATTGCTTCAACTGTAAACATGGGCAAATTTAGGCAAGGAGCCAATTTCCTGTCAGGGTCATTTTGTGCAATTTAATCCCTTCCTACTTCCATTGCATGTCTGTACAGGCCCATTTATATTCATGATCTTAAGCCATTGTGGTTCAATTAACACGTTGTACTATATTTTTATGGCTTACAAAGACAAAGTCATAAAAATTACTGAAATCTCAAGCGCCGACAAGTTTTGCATGACTTTCCAGAAACTCATGTTAGCCAACTGACTCGTTAAATATGACTGACTCCTAATCAGGCCTCAATCTTTTAAAACGGTTTTAGCTTTGAGGATCCGATTACGCAACTGAAATAAGAGCCCAATTTATTTTCAGGCTCTTTGCACCATTCAAATTTGTGTCAGTGAACATAAAAGGATACTGAACCCATGTAACCATCAATTCGGATTAAATTATGGTTACCAAACACGTGTAGGTGAAGTAAAGCTTAATTTATTGGTTTATGGAAAATATATCACATTTTTTTACATTTGTGAGATACCTTCAGCTTTTAGTCCATTAAACATTTTATCCCAAACATGTCTCAAAAAACATCTCAAAGCTGCATTTAAAACTCGTTTTCAATTATTTTTAACCGAATCATTCCGAAGCCACCAGTTTGACGACGCTTTAACCAAAAGCACGTCTGCGTCTTCGCTACAAAACACCTTCCTGTCCCATCAAACGGTCCAAATTACATACAACAGCCCAGCCATAAGTATTATTTGTGAAAACACAATATATGAATTTTGGTGCAGTAAAACAACAAGCAGACTGGAGTTTGCTCACTGGACTACAAATTGAAGAGCCGACACAAATACAATAAATGAGTGAAACATACGCATTATTATAGCAGCAGCAACAGTGACATTTGGTTTGTTTTGCTTCTTTCAGAGCTTTTTTTGTTTTGTTTTGTTTTTTAAAACATCCACATGATTGATACCAAAGTGCAACTGCATGGAAAGGTTTACATTGTTATAGGTTGATTCATATTCTGATGAACTACGAGCCTTGCAAGGTTGAGATGCATTTAAAGAGTATTATGGCACATTTTAAAACCGAAGAGGAAACATGTCACAGATCTTTTTACTAGAACAATAGGCAATGCAAACTTCACAATACACTAATATATAGATATATTTCGTAACCAAAGTTTGTCGTCAGTACATTAACGTAACATTTAAAAAGCATCACATCAATGTATATATATTTTTTCATATCCGTTTACGGAACAAATGTATTAACTGCAGTTATTACAGTGTTGATTTTTTTTTTCCCCCCCCCACAACAGTCATTGTGAAACGGCACAGAGCGCGCCCGTTTCCGATCTGCGCCGCAGGCCGCGTAAAGCCTGCGGCTCAAAACACCGCAACATCATATCCCACCAGGAAAAAGCCTTCTTTACGTCTCAGAGTTCTTCTTCTGTTGCTGAACTCCCGAGCCGCTCGCCTCCAGCTGAGCACAAACAAACACCCTACATCTCAACTAACTGCTCTTGCAATAATCAATAGTGACACGAATTGTACAGATATATAGCTATATGTTTATGTATATACCTCCAGTGTGTACACGAGCTGACCACTACCTCTGATGGGTTCAGAGCCTCCTTGTTATCACGAGAGACGGCCACGAAAGGGGTGCATGCAAGAAGAGTACTCGATTCATGGTTGTTGTTGTTTTTTTTTTGTTTTGTTTTGTTGTTTGTTTGTTTTTTTTAAGTTAACACAAGTGCAAGACAGTTTTCCTTTGCTGAAGACTATCTGGAAAGAATTAAAAAGCCAACGTCCCTATACAGATTCTAGCCTTAAGTTCTATCCTTCTACCAGTTCGGCGTTGCTCTTTCCTCTAAATTAATCAGCAGCTGGGTGACTCGGCAGATTCTTGGTGTAAAGTTGGAGGACTTTGGCCCTCTTAAAGCTTGGTCCTTTAACTTCTTTAGGGATCATTCTGTTGGTGTTTTTCTTTTTTTTGTTTGTTTGTTTTTCTTTTTTTAAACAGATACCTTTGAAGTATTATCTGGATGTTTCTGAAGCACACATTGAGAAAATTCCTACAGGCGAGTGGTTTTTGAAGGGGGTGGTTGTTCGACATTTGATAACTGTTCCTGCTTTTGAAGTTTCTTAAGCGACGGTAATCTTAGTGGGACGAGCAACATTGAGAGAAACTTCATTGCTCTCTTCACTTGGCGGTCATCATCTGGACAAACTCTGGATGGAAGAAGACAGTGCAACATTTTTCAGATACACATGTTTAGAAATATTTCTTTTTTTTTAAAAGGGCTCCATGTGTTGGTAGTAAAGACAACTCACCCTCATAGTTGACCTGGCCATCGCCATCAATGTCAGCCTCCCGGATCATCTCATCCACTTCCTCGTCTGTGAGCTTTTCACCCAGGTTGGTCATAACGTGCCGTAGCTCCGCCGCGCTGATGTAGCCGTTACCGTCCTGCAACGAAAACTAAATCTTACTTTGGAACATGAAAATGATGTCTTGTAATATTCGGGCGTTTCTTCTCTGTGGTTTGGCTCTTCCATGTGAAAATGGATTAGCCTGGTGGCTGTACTTCCATTTTAGGAAAAATACCAGACCTTTTTGGCAATTATCCAACAAACTGGTGATTCAATGTTTAATACAAAACCCTGACAGACGAAGAAATGATCAGGTTTTCAGGCTGATCACCGAAAGTAAAAAAAAATGTTGACCTTCTTTTATCAATTTTAATTGGTCTGAGAAGTTGCTAGATACAGCCGGTGACAGTGGGGCGACTGTTGTTTACAGCAGATGTGATCTGGTGGGCGGGTTCATCTCTGACGGTGGAGGATAAGAGGACAGCGGATGTTTTTCAGACCTTTGCGGGGGCAGAAAATGTCAATGGACAAGATCAATTTCACCTGCAAGAATTGACCAATTATCCAAAATAAGAAAATTGATTATCAGTGGTCTCCTAGTTTCTGTCGACTAGTTCAAAATATTTATTATGAGTTACTTTACCCAACAAAAATTTTAAATCAAGATGATATTTCTCCTGTACCTCTGATTAAACGCCTCCAGAAATCTAACTAACTTTAAAAACAAATACTTTTTAATGCGTTTTTGACATTTAAATAAATTATACCGCAATACCAAAAAAAGCATCTAGAATAATTTGAGTAAAATGTCTTATTTTAGGACAACACAAAACGGACATTTTTCCACTTTGAAATAGTTTCAAATGCGTTTTTCTTGTCATCGTTACAGTATCAAGTAAAAAAAACATTATCCAGTTTTGCTTGGGACTACTGATTCATTCATACCTTGTCAAATACCCTAAAGGCTTCCCTGATTTCCTCCTCGCTATCCGTATCTTTCATTTTTCTGGCCATCATAGTCAGGAACTCGGGAAAGTCAATCGTTCCATTACCTGCAATGTTAAACAAAGAGAAACAAGTTAGCATTCATTTGGATAACAGGGCAACTGTTACTGAAAAGCATCACATCAAAAACAACATAACTGTTTAATCTTAGCAATAGTATAGAATATGTTGAATTGTCTCTAGGCTGAGGTAGACACACACATCTGCCATGACTACCTAATATTTTTGTGTGTAAAACTCAGGCTGAAACGATTCCTCGAGTGATTTGACTACCTCGATTTTTTAAATTTCCACAGGAAAATTTATCTGCCTGGAAGCTTCGTTAAGTTCAATTTTATTATTTATTGAACAGCCGGGTTAATACTTGTGTTGCCCAGAGCTCTCACTTCCGCCTGAGTTGTTGACGAAAGCTAAGTGTTAGCAGCATATGGTCCAGTTTTCAAGTTCAGCCTGGGAAGATTTTATTGAGTCATAATAATGTCCAGGTCTTTGTCGTTTTTCGGGGGACCAATAAGTATTTAAATGCCTGGCGTGATGCCTTTTCCCTCCCAGAGCTGCAGCCTGGTTGCCGGTTCAGAGCGCTGCAGGTGCATTTATACAATTACGTACATAGACTGAACACTGCGGCCGGCTGCGCATTAGATGATTGACGTAAGTGTAGCTTTATGGACGAACCGGAAAATTTATTTCATTTCATCCCGGTCTCAAAAAATGGGTGACGGATCTCATCATGGCGGCTGGCAGCTGAGTTTCTGTGTGTGATGAACGAAGGTGTTAAATCCCGTCGCCAACATGAACACAAAAGCTATAAATGTCTGATGAGAGTTAATCTATTAAATTGATTGAAGATGAATACAGAAACAAAAAGCTGGAATATTAGCATTTTTTAAAAGTGTATTTGTGAGCCTGCCTTTTTGTTATTAAACTGAATATAATTTCAGATTTTGTATAACTTTTCTTCAGGTTAACATAGAATGTGAGCTATTATTGTGACAGATTAATTTTCTAAACTACATTAAAGTTACTGTTAGGGAAGCTCAACTGTGAAAAATTGGACTGATGTCGATATTCGATACTACTGTTACGTTAGATTTACCAATGTTGTACTTTATTTTTATCCGATTACTCGATTAATTGTAAGAATAATCGATAGAGTACTCACTAAAATATTTGTTTACAATTAGAAGATAAAGAAAAATCAGACAAGAGTGTCGCGTCTTATGCCTGCACACGGTTCTTTGTTTTATAGGACCAATATGATTGAGAAACTTTTTTTTGGTTTCTTTACCATCAGCATCAACCTCATTGATCATATCCTGCAGTTCAGCTTCGGTGGGATTCTGTCCCAGAGAGCGCATCACCGTGCCGAGCTCCTTGGTAGTGATCGTACCGTCGCCATCCTTGTCAAACAGTGAGAATGCCTCTTTGAACTCTGCACAATAACAGAAACAGAGGCTCCAGTGAGCTTCAGATTTTAACACAAAGTCTTAATAACAGTCAATAACTAAACTATGTGAAGCATTAACAACGTATCTGCAATGACATGCAATACAAAGAACCAAAACTTTGCTAATCATGACTAATAATCGAATGTGACCTTCTTCAGAACATGCATTATTGGAAAAAAGCTTTAAAAGTAAGAATAAATTGATAAAAAAAAAAAAAAATTCTAATGAGCACATGTTTTCTCTAAATGTTTTGTCTTTCAAAGCTGCTGAAAACTTCACACACATAATCCTAAGAAAAACATTTAACTCTAATTCGCTGGTTCACAAGATCATAACCATACTTGTTCAGACAGAATGAACCGGTTCCTAAACGCAACCTTTGGCTCTTTTAATCTTTGCTTTTTCTAATTCGGTGATGAATTAAGGTGCTGCTAAAGATAAAACAGGCCAAACATGGTTGAGGTATGCGCTCACCAGCAATCTGCTCCTCTGTCAGCTGATCAGCCTGTAAACAAAAGCACAAGACAGGAGTGAAGTACAGGCAGACCTACTAGAAAATAATCACTTTTCACATTTCTGTTCAGTGTAGAATGTATTACAAGTTACGAGATTCTAAATTTATGTCAATAAAATGTGTTTGATTGCACAGATGTTCAAGGGTACCCATTTAGACAAGGCGATAAGTAGACAAGAAAAAAGTAAGACTGAATAAAAATGCCTCCAAGGACCATTTCCCTACCTATAACCTATAACATAAAATAAACTCAAAGTGTGCAAAAGATCTATTTTGCTTTTTCAAATAAATTGACTATAATTCAAAATTTATCGCCTGCAACCAACTCCACTGAGTACAGTAATGCAAACTTGCTTCAGACAAATGAGTCAAAACACACTGCAACAGCTGAACCACAACTTATAACCTAAAATACATTTCCTACAGCAAGAGCTACCATATTTTAAAGAGTTTGCTTTTTATTGAAAGGTTCAACCTGCCAAATTTGTAACTTTGTGCATTTTAGTATATAAATTATCTTTCCACAAGAACTCAAGTGATTTGAAAAGCAAAAGCGACTCTGCTGTGGAAGGTCAGACAATGCATTTCTACACTGTGTGAAAGCAATCTCTCCATACGATAAACTTATTCTCCCACCAGAACTAACACTTATCCAAGACATCACTCTCCCCTGCTTGTGAACTCTGAAGAGGCCTATCTAAATCAGCCGATGTGCTCACTTCAGGCTGAGAAAGTGTGATGAGGGACGGGTATAAATTCTCCGCAGCCCGAAATACACATGCCTGCTATAATTAGTGAGACACGAACAGGGTCGCCTATGTAGCACACTGAATATCACAGCAGCTAATCATCTCTTTGTAATATTCTTCACCGGGTAAATATTAAAGTTCAGGCCATAGAGTCCCAACGACCTCAAGGACGGATTGTTTGGCCGCGCTTTGAATCCTGCTTAGCGTATTTATGCAGCCTGAGGAAGACTACGAGGTTGAATAAACTGTATTCAGTGATGAAGATAGGCTCGTAACTATGTTGGCACAAAACTCAGCTCTGATAAATGGTTTGCATTTTGTGGCTCTCGCTCCAAAATGTAGGAAGCAAAATTTGCAGATTTCTTTCTTTCTTTTTTTTTTTGTCGTCGTCGTTGTGCTTTCAAAACTAAAAAGATTAAAGCCAACATTTCTAGATCCTGAGGTGTTGGTAACGCCATGTGTTCTTTGAATCAAAATCAATGAGTCACCATGTTAGAGGAAATGAGGGGTGGGAGGGTAAGTGAAGGAGAGCAAGACTACCCACACTGTCAAGAATGGAAGTGTGTGTGTGTGTGTATATATAGATATTTGTTGTAAGAAATATAGTCAGCACAGCAGCTGTAAAGTGATGGTGAAACTGACAAATTATGAGCATACAAGTATAAATTCCCATAGTGAAAACACAAACTCTATTTTGGTAAAACCATAGCATGATAAACCCGTATGTCACACAGGGTGAAAGCCTGGTAACAGAGGCCGTCCAATATTCCCGATTTGGAGGATGCACTGCGGCTGCTGCACCAAGCATGTTTTGGTTCAATGCGGGGGGAAGGGAAGGGAAGGACGCGAGAGGAGGGGTGGCAAAGAGGATCATTCAGCAGAAGCAGAATGCGGTTCAACGTTGTGGCGCAATACGTAACCGAGAAGAATGGTGACATGGTGGTGCTGCTGCTGCCATGGCTGGGAGACTGAAATGTGGACACAACTGGAGCGAAACGCGTGCAGCCAGCTGCTACCTGCAAGCCGTATTGTTATGCAATTGCAGTCATCAGATATCATAACCCCACCACCACCACCCATCTGCTTGTTGCGCATGTCAAGCTGCATTTAAACCATCCTGCTGATGTGCTTTGCAGGAAGAGCTGCATGGACAGCTAACGTGGAGTGACAAAATGGTTGTTAGCATGCCATCTAACCCGAACGCCTTAGGCGTTTTTGTTAAATAAACAATACGAGTCTGAGGATTTCTGCTGTTATTGCACCGCAAAACCATTAAACGACGCTGCAGCCACGCCCACTGACGGGTCAAAAAAATAAATAAATAAATAAACACGCTGCCAACCTTCGTGCATGCAGGCTACAACCACCTAAATGTTTGCTTGGTGTCGCATTTCAAGTCGTTTCCGTGACAAATCCTTCAACCTGTGGATAACAGATAATCAAAGCTCCAACGGGAGCTGCTGCTTGTAAATGGAAGCGAACTGCCAGGGTAAATATGTCAGCTCGGCTTCCCGCGCCGTCCTGGAAGATTACGGTGCAAGCCACGGGTCCTGCAGACTTTGCATATATTTGCAAATGCTCAAAACGAAATATTCGCGTTCACACACGCATGGATTCAACAGCGACCACTTAAAGCCTCAGCATCGAGACGCAAGCGAAGCCTTGCTAACATGCTAAGCGTTAGCTTGATACTCACCATCGTTCCGTTGAGTTTTTAAGCTCTGCGAAGGAGACAAATGTTTTATTTGAGAGTCTTACTTTAAATTGCTGCAGGGAGTGTCACCCTGATACGACAGTCAGAACTAATGGAGTATAAATGTCTACAGTCTCGGAAATATGGTTAGCCTGCTCTCTGGTGTTGCCCGGAAACCTCAATCCAGCGACGCCGGCGTTGTGCTTCGGCTCCTTTAAAACAAAACAAAAAAGTATCCCTCCGCAGCTGCTCTACATGACGAGAACTGACCAGAATTACAAGTACATAACCCGCTGCTGTGCTCTTTTATTGCTGCTTTTTTGTTTTTAAAGCTTAATTATAATTTAACACTTAATAAAACACACAAAACTATTTGCCACTCTAAGCAAGAAATGTGCGCAAAGATACTGAAAAGAAAAGAATTCAGGATTGGGACTTTTTCCCATTACACACACACAAAAATATGCTTTTAAGAAATTATTTTTAATTTTTTGTAACTTTACTTGTGCAGTAAAATATTATCAGCCTACAATATTTATAAGTAGTTAAAGTCATCCAGAGTGTGTACCCCTTTGGTGCAAGAAAAGCAATAAACAGAAGCAGAATATTATGAATTGCATAAGGTTTTGTTTTTGTGGTCCAAATATGGAGGAAAGCTGGCTGGACTGCTTTGAAATATTTGGAGATTATTGTTGCAAGAAAGGATATTTCAGTCCAGTTTTAGTTTTCAAAAAATATTTTGAAATAGTTCATTTAAACATGAAATTGAAATATTTGCCAATGAAACATAAATCATTAAAATGAAGATTAGTAACATGCTCTTTTGTTCTTGTATTTGTTTATTAGTTAAAAAAGAAGATTAGTTGAAGTGAGATGCTTTAGCTGAGCTTATATAATAACTTACTATATTGATCAGGAAATCAACATGACATCGATTATTATCTTGATTTTCTGAACAATGACCAAATAGTGAACTTTTAGTTTGCATCACAAACTAAAAGCTTAGCTCGGGGGTCTTCAAATCCAGCCCTGAAAGATCTATATATCTATCTATATAAGGAGATATATGAGTATATATCTCTCAAATATATGTTGTTTTTAAAAAATGGCTTTTTGTTGTAAACCTGGTTTCCAGGTGTCACAAATATACGTCAAATATTTATATGTCAAGCCATTTGATACAGGGACACAACTAAAATTTGACCAAAGTAGTAAAAAGTAACAACATCCTGTTACAGCAGCGATCCCTCGGGACTGGAAATGAGGAACTGATTTGCAGTCACGTCTGAATAACCCGAAACAGACAGGAAAGAAGATAGTGTTGTAATTTCCAAAGAGAGTGAAAATCAGAAGAAACAAGTGAAATTGAGTTTTTGACAAATAGCGTGGGCATTTTATTGTCGTGTTTCCTGCTTTTTAGTTTAAATAAGCAGAAAAAGCTGCAGGTTTTCTTAAAACGTGTGCCATCACATCAGTTTTATGACTAAGCCAGTAGGTGTTCAGTCAGATACGAACTCTTCTATTGTTAGCCACAACTTTAAGAGGGTAGCTGGTTGATCTGGAGAGAGCTTATATCCTTGTTCTTATCAGAAACCACAGGAGGTTGTTTAGCTATACAATTTTTATGCAATTAGCTGTTGTTGGGAATAAGTGGGATATTGTTTTCTGCATATTTTCTTTGAATTTTTGTTCTGTTGCATATATTTGCAAACATGACACTGAACTCATCCTCTTGTGAACTTTATCCCTGCGTTCAGCTCATGTTGATTTTTTAAAACAATACCCAGTTGGTGCTGCAGTGGGTTCCATGAATTGTGCTGCAAGTTGCTGCACATGGATGCCGCTGACATTTTCTCAACTATCACTGGTCCCTTGACTTCCTAACTCAACCTTTGTTTAAAATTCTGCTTGAACATATTCAGACAAAATGAAGAGAGGTTTCTTTAGTACCAGATGAGTGCTCTTGTCTTCAAAGCATCATTGTAAAAATGTTGTTTTGTTGTAAACCTGGTTTCCAGGTGTCACAAAATTGGGACACTCTGTTTACACAACTGCAGTCCTTTTTTTTTCACCAGTCAAGCAGAGACTTTCACAGTCCATCAGAGGGCAGTAAAAGATAATACAAGTTTCAAAGATTTGTTCAGAAACTGTTTCCTTCTTTTTCTCAGACATAATGTTTTACTTTATGTCTGTCCATGTCTTTAATAATATAGCTACATCTATATATCTATGTATACTGTTCATGTCTATACATCTATCTATACCAGGAGATATATAAGTATATTTCTCTCTAAATATACATTTATATATCTTTTTATATGTGTATTGATTATCTATCCCTCTATATACATATGCATACATGTGTGGGTGGGTGTGTGGGTGTGTATGTCCTTGAGGTTGCAAAACTAACGTTAAAATCCAGAATCTTTTAATTAATAACTCATAATCTCATCACAATGAAAGTAACACGATGTGCAATCCTGTTTGTCGCTCTTCACTCTTGAAAAGGTAAATGAACCTCTGGTACCAGTGAGGTTGCTGTCGACACACATAAGCGCGGCTTTCATCACAGGAAAATGACTTCTCAACTGAATTAACCCCGATCTACAGTCAGAGTAATAATGAACATTTTAAAAACCTGAAACTGTCATAAATGAGGCTGGAAGAGGATCCATGTTTTATTTTGCCAACGCAGGACAGTATGAGGTACCGAAATCTCCAACATACACTCCTGCTTTTACACACCTGTCGGCCTACGTGCGTGCTACTCCAATAAAATTATTATTTTTTTCAGGATTTTAAAACATTTTCACAATAAATGTGCTCACATATACGTTACCTGTCACTTAACAGAGAGGCACAATCTTGTGTTCTCTCTATCTAGTACCATCTTCTCCTCCTGTCAGGCATTGAGCTTTCATTTCTTCTTTGCATGTCTGTGATAGCCAGAGCATCTTCTGATGACTCTCACCTTCTCTGCTTTTCTTTTCTTTTTTCTTTTTTTTTTGTGGAAACGATTGAAATTAGGTTTCAATCGTTGAATACTGTTAAATAGGGCTGTTAAGAGTATTGTCTAAGATGGCTAATTTACAACTTTAAGAATGGCAGATGTAGAACTGAGGCACCCAGACGTTATATTGAATGGTAGCAAACAACCTCTCCCTTTATTTGAACATCAGGCAAACCTCCAAACCTCACCTAAATCCCTTTCACAGCTTTCTACCAAAGTTGTGACCTCTTTATCCTTTATTGACCTTCCTGACCTTCTGTCAAAATGCTTCATCTGCTTTGTACTACCCAAACACGTGCATCTGCTATGATGGCTGTTTCGACAAGTCTGAAGCCATGGATAAATGCATCATGTAACATGCTCATGTTGCTGTTATTGTCTTTTCTATATATATGTATATATTGATCTGATCAGCTCCCTGTGTCTGTGACTCTTGTTTTTATGTGAGGAAAGAACTTCTATATATTGCCACTGGGAGACACACAAATCCCACTTTAAGAAAAAAAGAAAACCGTACCGCTGCTTCATCCCAAGCTTGAAGCTCCTCCTTTTCATTTACCGAGGGCGTTCCGCTAATGATGGATAAAATCAAACGAGAGGCTGCATTGGCGCTAACCGCTTACGCGAAACTGTTACATTTATCTGGTAGGACTTTAAAAGTTTATTTTACAGGTTATTTGTGAAATGTGGCATTTAGTTACTGGGTGTTCATTTTTGCTGGACTACTACTCTTTCAGTGCTATGGAGAAGGGAACTCTGTACTGCCTGCGCAAGGACAAGTGAGGATGGAGAGGAGTGGTTGACAAGCAGAGTGCTTTCCATGCGCTTCAGGAAGAGTGTGTGCTTCTTAAATCGCTGGAAGGGATTCTACCTGCCCCACCAAACTATCGGCTTAAACGGACAAAGGCGAACGATCAAGCTGCTTTTTGTGATAATCAATGGATCGGTATTTTTGTAGAGTTCAGCATTGGAGTAGACTGTTTTCTGCAGAAAAGGAATCTGTTTTGGGGAAAAGATGGGGGAAAACACAGACAGGAGTGGTGAGAAAAATTCCTTGGTGGACCATTTTCCACAATGTCTGGGAGCCAGGAGTCAGGCTGGGTCCCTGTCTTGTTTTCCATTTCACATGCTGCAGATGGATCAAAACATCTGCAGCATGTGAATTTTTTATCTGCGTCAGTTTCTTAAATTCCTTCCATATTAAACATGTTCATGTGCACGTCTTTTCCTTGTGTTTGTGTGGTTGGGCGTGTTGATTTCAAAGATCAATGTCTCTTGGAGTTTCACACCCACAAAAGTGAATGAGGAAAGCTGGCTGGACTAATAATAATGTAGAATAATGTGACATGTTATTGTAAATTCCTAAATCAGTTTGATACACCCATGGCCTGCGTTCAATTCCAAGTAAATTCTCCCACAGATGACTTAAATATGTTTCAAATTTTACTTGAAACACAGAGGGTAGGAGAGAGAGAAAGAGGTTCACAAGGATCAATTTTAGGACCCATGCTGCTTACCATTTATATTAGTAAGTTGTGCCACGGTCTTACAAGTGCAGTTGTGCATTTTTATGCCGACAATTCAGTAATTGATTATTGACCAAAGTCAGTTGCCCGTACTTTTGAGCGGTTGCAGTTCTCTTTTGACAACTTTCAGTCTCAACTATTACAGCTACTGGATGCCAGTAAGACGAAGGGCATGTTGTTTTCCAACAAGAAGAAAGTGCCCACATTTCTCCCTGCTCTCACTACCAGACAAGGTGTGTCTATGGATTTTATACCATCTTAAAAATATGTTGGAATCACCCTTGATGCCAATATTTCAGCCACAACAAGACTTGTTTCTTCGTCACTACGAGCACAGCCCTCACTCACCACTGCACCTTATTTTCTTTAAACACTTGCAGATTCTCACACTGGTACACTTTCATATACAAATCCATTCTCCTGCCAACTGCATCATGACATGTTATATTTAATGCAAAAAAACTAAAGTACCAGACTATCAGGACTTTATTACATTCATTTTGGCAAGGTGGTTTGTCCAGGCATCAAGAACTGGCTGGAATCATTTAATGAGTGAACAGAAAGTTCATCCGCTGGATAGTCTGTGACTCCAGGGGATACTTAGGAAAGCATTTTTTAGCCTGTGGTCGGTTGTTTGACGCTCAGTAAATTCCCGGGCTCAGTTTTACATTTGTG